TACGCCTTGCAACTACGGCAGGCATTCAACCTTTGGCGACTACGCTAAGATTACCTTCACTACTTCCCTTACCGCAGCCCTCCGCTAACCTGTTTCTGGGACCCTGCCCGACTTGCCTCAACTAGCGAGCCCAACGCTACCAGCCTTGTGACTGCCTACCCCGACACCACAAGGTACAATTTTGGGCGTCATCACTGTTTGGAAGTACTAAAGGTTCTTGTGATCTGTCCAAACTTCAAACTTGTGCTGTGCACCCTCCAGGAAGTGCTGCCATTCCTTGAAGGCCTGGATAATAGCTAGCATTTCCTTGTTGTGGATCTTGTAGTTGCACTCTACTGCATTCAAGTTCTTGGAATAGAAGGCCACTGGATGCTACTTCCCATTGTCCTGAAACTGTTGTGAGAAGACAGCTCCAGTGGCAAAGTAGGAGCTATTGGCTTCCACATAGAAGAGGGAGTTGTCATCTGAGAAGAGGAGGACAGGCCTGGAGGTGACTGCATGCTTGAAAGTGTCAAAGGCAGTCTGCTTCAGGGGTCTCCAGCTTCAGATGGTGTCCTTCACAGTGAGGTCAAATAGAGGGTGAGTGTGATGGGAGAAGTCTTGGATGAACCTCCAGTAGAAGTTGGTGAAGCCTAGAAAGGCCTGCACCTCTTTGTTCTTTTTGAGCTCTGGCCACTCCACCATGCACCACCTTCACCAGGTCCATCTCTATAGTTCTGTGTGAGATGATCAGCCTCAAATACTCAATTCAAATCTGCTCAAACTCACACTTATCTGGTTTGAGATAGAGCTAGTGCTGGCAAAGGCGTTCTAAGACAATGCAATTGACCTGGCAGTTCTCCTCAAGCATGTTGATGTAGATGAAGATGTTGTCAAGGTATACACACACTACGCCCTCCACAATGAGGTTCTGGAAGATGTTGTTCATCATTGTCTAAAAGGTGGCCAGGCTATTGGTAAGTTTGAAGAACATAACATCAAACAGTTGGTTGGTCTGGAAGGCAGCCTTCCACTTATCTCCTTCATGAATGTGCACATTGTTGTAACTTCACCAGACATACAGTTTGGTGAAGTACTGTGCCCCCCAAAGGTTATTGATGAGCTCAAAGATGAGGAAGAGGGGGTAGCGGTTCTTCACCATCATGGCGTTAAAAACCCAGTAGTCCTGAACCAGCCAAAGGGAGCCATCCTTCTTCTTAATAAAGAAGACCAGAGAAGCTATTAGCAACTTGGAGGGGCAGATGCAACCAGAGTCCAGGTTCTCTTAAAGGAAGGTGTCAAGCTTGTCCTATTCTTTAAGCGCTAACAGGTAGACCTTGCAGCTGGAGGGCTTGGAGTCTGGCATCAATTCAATGGCATGGTCCCACTGCTTGCGCTTTGGGAGTGAGTCAAAAGAGGCCTTAGAGAACACATCCTCAAAGCTGTGGTGGTATGGGGGCACTACATCCCAGAATGCCTGAGGTGGAGAGTTGGTGGCAAACACCTGGGCTAATTGCTGAGAGGTGGTCTGGCTGGCCTAGATCAATGGATAGCAGCAGGCACATAGTGGTTGTGTAGATTTGATCCCCAACTTCTATTGCTTCATCTAGAGACTCCAGTTTGTGGATGCCATAGAACTCCCCTCTCAGCTCTTCCTCCAAGGCCCTACTGCTGCTCTGGTTGTCCTTGTAGAGAGCCTTTCTATGGGGGAACACCAAGGATGAGGGATCCAAGAGGTTAAGGTCTGCAAAGGGGAGGTGGCCTGCATGGCAAGTGTCAGATTCTGCTGACTATGGGGGCTCAGTCCACTGGGCAAATTCTTACATGGCATGCACAATGTCCACAAACGCAATGGTACTGTTGAGAGTGCAGGGTGTGTGAAACTAGGGCCAGGCCAGAGATGTGAGCGGCAGTCAAGCGAGTGATCACCAGTCATGCCAGGGTGAGAAGGTGAGTGCTAGGGGTGAGGAGGGGGGTTGGAAGATGAGTGCTAGGGTGAGCACAAGTGCTAGAGATGCAAAGGTAGAGGAGAGAATGAGCACCAGTGTGTGAGCAAGTCCTAGGGCTACTGAACAGATAGCCAGGGCAAGCAAGGAGACTTAGCAAGTTCTGGAGATCAAAGATAACAGATGTGGGGATAGTCAAGATTAAGACAAAAGAGGAGAGAAGAGAGGAGAGACTTAGAAACTTGAGGCAGAAAGAGAGAGAAGCAAAGTTGAATTGAGAGTATGAGATGAGTAAAGACAGAAGAAATGAGACAATACAAAAAGAGTACAAGACAAAAATGAGATAAGTCAAGAAATGGAAACCGAGGCATGTGAGACCAAAGAAACAGAGAACAAAACATGGAACTAGAGACAAAGGTATGGCAATATCAAGACTAAAGTACTAGGTGCTACTTACTCTATGACTTATATACTGGAGGGTATGTAGGCCCCAGGGCACAGGTCTGGGCCCCAGTGATGAGTCATGGTGCTGGGGCTCAAGGTGAAGCCCAGAGATCATGCAAAGTGGTGTAGATGGTTGGTGCATATTGTGTGGCACAAAGGAAGCTTTTAAAAGGAAGGTCTTGCTTTGGAAGCATGTAAGCATGGAATGGTGGCGAGGCAAGGTGAGCGAGGGTGGGTTGTGGCATGCAGAAGTTGGATTGGGGGTGATGCATGGTCGTGATGCATGATGGGTGTCTTGGTAGTAGCTGGAAGAAGCACTGGGGGTTGCTGAGGCCAGTGTGGCAGCTGCAAGCAGTGATGGCTGAGAGGTGCCAGGGGTGGCGGTGGCTGGTGGCAGTGATGGGCATTGATGGCCAGGGGCTTCCGAGGTGGCTGGTCAGGTAGTGGTTCAGGCCTGGAAGGCTGATTTGGAGAGGTTGAAGTTCCAAAGCCAGGGCTGAGTGCTGGAAGTTGGTAGTGGGTCGTGACAGGGTGCTGAAGACTCACCATCAGAGTGAGGCAATGAGCAGGGTGCATCTGGCATAGCTCCCACCAAATCTCCATGAGCTGTCATTGGTCCTGAGCTGCCTTGTACTAAGAGGTGATCTGCTTGTTGTTTGAGCGACCCTCAGCAAGGTTATTTATGTGCTCCATCAACCCAGGGTGCAGACCATCCTGAAATATGAGGCACAGTTAAAGACCGTCTAGGTAGGCTGCTTGCTTGACTAGCACCCAGAAGGAGTCAATGTATTCATTCAATGTCCACTTGCCCTGTCCATACTTCTCCTTGTTGCACAGCGCTAGTAGAGCAGATTTTGCAAGATCAATTGGGAAGAACTCTGCTTAGAAATTCTTTTTGAAGGTGGCTCGGTTTATACAGTTTCCAACACCTCTAGAATGTTGAAGCACACATGGTATGTATGTGGAGGCCTGCCTAGCCTTCATGTATGACAGCATCCAAGCTATTTTCAATGCGTCAGAGTCAAAGGCATCTCCACTGAGGTGAATATAAGTGAGGCAGGACTGGAGGAAGTGCTCTTCAGAAGTGCAGTCGCCATCATATGTGTCTGGGAGTGCCATATATGGGATCTGTGTCTGGAGACCTGCCAGAGCTGCCAGAGAGGGTTCTGCCACTGGAGGTGGTGCAATGGTAGAGGGTAGGCGCTCTAGCAGTGCTTGGAGGAATTGGAAGATGTGATTGGTGGTTTGGCAGAGGATGGAGAGTTTGGTTGTGTGGTGGATGAAGGAAGCTTGAGTCAATTGCACCTGCATCTCTAAGTGTAGCAAGTGAGTCCAAGCCTCATCCTAAGGAGCCAGAGCATCTGAAGGAGTGTCTGGATTGGCCAGCTGAGACATAGAGTTCTGCATGTGTTTAAGCCTGGTGAGGAAGCAACAAATAGGGGCTTAAAAAGTCCTGGCAGGCTATGAGGGGCTTCCAAACCAGAGTTAGAAGACTTGTTCTGCTGTAAGGGCAACCTCTGGGAGTTGCGGCTCAATCACACAACTAGCAGAGAGGAATCCAAAGTTATATTAGGGATGATCAACAGTACAATGGTAACTAATTTATCCAGCAGAGGAGAATCCAAAGAGAACAAGTTTAAAGATCCCACTGCTTGGTGCAGTGCATCAGCGGGCAGTGGAGGCATGAGAACAACTGTACATGTGACTGGAGCTAACCTTAACCTTGGATAATACTTGAAAGAGGAGTGTGGGAAGTTCTGAAGGTTTCCCAAAAAGGAAATGACCTCCAGAGATCTTCAGAGGTTCAGACCAAGCCCTGAGGGTCCCAGGAAGTGGCACAGGAGGTGGGCTGGAATGTAGGGAAGTGCCCCAATGGGAAGTCAGTGTAGACCAAAAACAGAAGCCCTCTGACATAGCTCACCTCTCATCAGAATCATCTACTCTTGTATTATATTTTTTTTTGCCAACCCATCCACCTCACCCAAATTCATGTTTTACTTTGTCACTCCATTGATCACACCAGTTTTTATGCAGATCTTTTCCTTACAACTATACTCACACATGCTTCATCCATTTTCTTCTTTGTATTCACACATCCACTTTGCCTTATCCACTTTTGTTTTTGTATTCACTTTGCCCATGCAGCACTTCAACACCCCCCAGATTGTCACCAATTGTCATGCTCTTTTTTGTCAATGGAAATATATCCACTGCCTTGAGCTTTCCACTTTGTTCTATACCACGGAAAATTAGACTTAAGATGCTATGTATGTATTAAAGTGTTTGTGATTATCATATTTTACATACTTCATGTGAATACATTTCACTGAGCTTGTGCAGGTGAACTTGCTCTGATTTCATACTTATGAATTTTCTATGCCTCAGCATCTTCAATTTTGTATACTTGATGATACAGTTTTCTCTACATATTATACCAACTCCCTGTTTTTGTGAAAAGCTTAAAACAGAGTAGATGGAGTTGTTCAATGCTGATTTCACATCGTGACATGACAGTAGTAAATACATGGGATATCATCTCACTTCCCTTAGTTCCGATCAACGAGCATCTGAGGTACCTTGATCCCCCGATAAATTTTATCAGTCGCATGACAAAAACAATAAACGAAACAGTGGACACACCCGGAATTGAACCGGGGACCGCCCGCAAACAGGAACCATTGATTATGTCATGCTAAGCGGGCGTGATAACCAACTACACCATGTGCCCATATTGACGATCATACCCGTTGTACATACTGGCCGTATGTCGACGACGGTGACCACGACACGCATATGCCAACCTGTATCGCGAACACCAGCAAATCTAGGCATCGGGAATACCAATGTCTCGGTTTGAAAAGTTAGCTCGGAAATGTGCTTGCTGCAAAGATTGGTCTGTGCAACTGCTCTCGTGTGATGAGGACTCTGTCGCCCAATGCCAAAAAGATCAAGAAAGGCGCGTCAGACTCTGAGATGACGCACCCAGTGAGTGATGGCACCACGACCCAGGAGGACAGCGAACGCGAGGTCCTGTACTTGATCTCTCAAAAGTAAAAACGAGATATACCAAGCTAGCTGAACTAGAATTCTTTTCCTCTACGATGCATGCCGCGGCCTTTGACAAGTTATAGTTTTCAGCAACTCTTCGGAATAGGATAGAGTGAGCCGGTGGCACTGTGTGGGCATGGCAATTTGCTTCAAGCAACCAGTTCTGCATGGCAGCTGAGCGTCGTATGTGAATAGGTCGACCCAGAGAGAATACATGTTTCAAGCAGCCCGAGAATATTCTGTTTAGAATTGTGAAGAAGGAAGGAAGGAAGGAAGAAGGAAGGGTTTGAAACAAAACATAAAAATGGTGAAGAATGACAAGTCACAACGCGTGAGATCCATCATTATGAACTCTCATGTCAACTTCAAAATTTTGAACTGGTGGAGGCGTGTTCCATCCATCATTCGAGGGCGTGGAAAGATGACGTTACAACCTGTTCAAATTCATTTCCACCAGTTGATCTGGCGCACATCATACATGGCTGCGCTGTCTCATATGGTTCGACGAGATTACGCGAGATTTCTCTCTCTCTCTCTCGCAGGTATCTATGAATATGTTTTGGCTCCTTGTACAACTTTTCTTGATGTCGTGTGTACACTGTGAAAATGTCCGGCACAACCTCATCAAAACATGATACTTGGCATCCACTTCCAGACACGACCTCGCGCACAATCGATGCCGAGGACGATCATCGCCGGCTTTTCACATAAAAAGAGGGCGTTAACAGTTGTGGAAAAAGACAAAGCCCCGAAATGTTTCTCTCCCTACTTTTGCTTACATCGGCTTCCCTGGCGTTCGCAGCCCCAGAAGTCAAGCTACGGAAAACGACGTTGGTCGGCCGTGACATATCTGGCTCGAATCAGGATTTCTTTGGAGGTGCTCATCTCAGAGTTCGAACAGACTGGATATTGTCTGTAACTGCCGTCCCTTCTTGTTAGGCATACCCTTCGCCGAGCCCCCTCTCGGGGACCTGCGCCTCCAGCCTCCCGTGCTCAAGCTTAACCCTACTGACAAGAACTCGCGTTTTGATGCCACCAACTTCGGCCCGGGATGCCTCCAGCCCGTAAGTCCTATGCTGTCATCTTTGAAACGATTTTCGAGGGTCTCGCACATCGCAGCCAGAGGACGGAGTCGCACTATCAGAGGATTGTCTTACAATCAACATATTCCGCCCCTCAGGCACGAAACAGAACGCGAAACTGCCAGTCGTGAGTTTTTCTCTTCTTTTCTCAGGAACGTGTTCTCACCCCCCTGAAAGTTGTTCTGGACGTAAGCACATGTGAAAAGACGGTTTAGGTTCTTTGTTCTCATTGGGTCCACTAGGTACGGCGGCGGTTTCATTCTGGGTGTGTCAAGTCAATTCAACGGGAGCGCGATTGTTGCGCGTAGCGTGGCTCGCGTAAGTAATTGATTTGTTGGGAAGACTTAGGGTTTACGGAATCTTGGTAGGGAACACCCCTGATTTATGTGAATTTCAATTACAGACTAGGTCCCTTGGGATTCCCCCAGGGTCAAGAAGGTGAGTTTTGATCATGCCGCCATGTTCAGAGCGAGGAGGGACGAGAACTTATCTTTTCCCAGCTGATAACAAAAAGGCGCTGAATCTGGCGATTAAAGACCAAATCGCTGCGCTAGAATGGGTTAAAGCGAACATCGAGGCTTTTGGGGGTGATAAGCACAAAGTACCGTTTGGCACTTCCTTGTAGTCTATACCTGATCTGATTGATCGCACCTGCAGGTGACAGCGTTTGGCGAAAGTGCTGGTGCAATCATGACGTCTATCCTCTACTTCAACTCTCCGCTATCCAAGCTCGTTCGTGGTGTCGTATGTTATTTTTCGCTGCTTCTCGTTCCACCTCACGAAATTGTTCTCTGCTTTAAAGATTCTCGAATCTGGTTCCCCAGCCTCTCCACTCACGTCTAATGCCGAGGCGCGTGAAATAGACTGGCAGAACTTTGTGGGCGGTGTCCCGTCTTGCGCCGACCTTGCTACCTCTGGAAACACCTTTGATTGTATCAAGGCTGCCAATACTAGCGAGATCTTCCAGGGATTACTTACTTCTCTATCTTTGTCTCAGGAGCAGTTTGCGTTTGACCCCACGATCGATGGTCCAGACGGGCTGTATCCCGACATACCCTCTAGGTTATTTGCAAAAGGTCAATTTGCTCGCGTCCCTTTCATCACTGGGACAAATCTCGATGAAGGTGTGCAAATATTTCTAATCTCTCTTTTTTAGTGTGTGTGATGTTCTTGATTGGCCTCTAGGGACACTCTTTACGCCGTTTACGATAAACTCAGAGCAACAAGTTCACGACTTCATCATTGCGAACTTTTCTCCGCCTATCGTACCAGCTCAAAAATTGGAAACCACGGCAGAGAAGCTCGTCGAGCTCTATCCTAATATTCCTGCCCTCGGGTCACCCTTCAATACTGGCAACGAGACGTTCGGACTCAGCAGTGTATTTAAGCAGGCCGCAGCAATTGGCAAGTTCGCAATACCTAATTCGTGCACTATTTTACTAACCTAAGGGACTCGACGACACAGAGGGAGATGTGGCCTTCCAGGCACAGCGCAGGAACTTCAATCAAGTTGCGGCAAATGCAGGCTTGCAGAGCCATGGATATTTGTTCACTGAACCACAGCCTGGTTCCGGGCCACTAGGAGGTGTGTCCGTCCTTATTTATTTCCAATAGGCCGCAGTTGACATTTCATGATATATGTTCAGTCTTTCATAGTTCAGAACTTCCTTTTGTGTACGGACCTACACAAATAGCAAATTCCCTTCTTCTCAGCTCCACTACGGCAATTTCTCTCAATCTCAGCAACATCATGATGGACTATTGGATCTCGTTCGCAACGAGTCTCGATCCGAATGATGGTCTTGGAGCTCCGCGTAGGCTCTTGTTGTTTAGGAATGATTTGAATATTTATATGTCATAATTTGCTTTTCTGTAGGCCCGCATTGGGAACAATATACCACAGCCAATCAAGTGATCATGGACCTGAACAGCGCCAATTTGTCCATGATACCGGACGACTACAGGAAGGAGCAGATTGCATTTATTAATGACATGGCTGTGGTGTTCCACCATCGCCGTGATATCGATTGAACATTTCACTGATAAGTTGGGGTACTACGGTCTTCCCTTAATGAGGAGACATGTATAATTACAAGAGAATAGCAGCTTGGACCTCATGGTTGTTTACCATACTCCGTAGTTCTATGATACAGTATTTGTACGATAGCAAATTGAATAGCTCACGGCTAATTGACGACATACCAGGAGTCAAGTTCAACGCCTTTTCCTGAACAAAACGGACGTTTGGGGTTGACCGATATCCTCGCATTGAATGAAGAATTGACGGGTCATGGACCATTATTCTCGAATGCCACATCGTAGTTAAGCAAGGTATGTGCAGTTATAACTTTGAGTTCGTTGACAGCGAAGAATCTTCCCGGGCTGAATTCAAGTCAGCAGCTATATTATATATTCAATAGTCCCTACCAAGCATGTCTGCCATGTCCGAAAACTAGATAGTCATGACTCAAGGCAACCATTTGATGCTTACTGAACCCTTCTGCCTCGAGTTCCCTCATTCTTGAAAACCGGAAACCATCAAAGACCGACACGTTCACGTAATTCTCCTATATAGTGCTGTGGCAGCGTTTCTGAAAACGCGAAACAGGCGTCCCACCTCGTAGTGATGCATCGCCAAATTTGGAACAGCGATGAAATGTCCTTTGGGAACTACAGTCCCGTCAGAGAAGGTGAAATCTTTCAGAACCTTTCTTTGCATGGAAACTGGATTGGAACGGATTAATGGAAAGGCTGATCCTGAAACCTCAAGACGTACGAGCACTGGCCGTCCCGAGCCTCTGTGATTCTTTGAGAAAGCTGTCGAGTTTAACCATCTTGTGCAATGACGGCTTTGAAAATCCTTCCCCGCTGATAACTGCTTCCACTTCTTCCCGTAAGACGGGGACAGATGAAGGATTTGCTGCAAGGTCAAATGGGACTTGCGCAAAAGCCTCAAGTCCAAGTAAGTCAGAAATTTGTAAATGAATCTAGAAGGCTGTGTCACCTGGGACGTAGTATGGATAGCGGCAAAGTTGATGGCCAAGATACGCAGAGTCAGCTCGCGGACGGTCTTCTGATCCTCTGCGGCATGGTCTAATAACCAAGACAAAGCATCGTTCTCGTACATGTCTCAAGTAAAGCTTGAGAGGGCAGAATGATGTACTCACTGGCCTGTCAGGCCAATCTTTACCATATTTCACCTCCTTATCAAGTCGTTCTTGAATTAAGGGGCGAAGGTGGCCCATAGCACGCTGAACCTGCGCTTCAAGGTTGGTGAGATGACGTCCAACGAATCTAGGATCAATGGACATCGTTAGATGAGCACCGCCGGATAAAATATCAACCGACGGTTTCAAGAAATTTGGAAATAGATTGATTGATTGGGCGGTCTTTATGACATGAACGGTGTATTCGATGTTGAGATCTCTGTAATCATCGTTCCGGCCTGGCGGGAATATAAATGAAGATGAAGCTTCCGGAGTTGAGAGAACGAACAGAGCGGGAGACCAACGAAAAGTCGATTACTAGAACGACTGACTATCTTCATGATTGTGGAAAGTGCATCGATCGCAATCCAGTCTAGAAAACGAGAATAAGT